CAATAAATTCTATACAATCATTACAATATTCTTTATCAAAATCAGGATTTAAATAGAAATTAGAAAGTATAATAATAAGCCATAGTATTTTACTAGACAGCATGTTTGACTGTCTAACATACTCATAAATTATTTTAACACCAGAAATATCATTGCTATATTTACATTCACAGATTTTATCGTTGTATAAAATATATTCCGAATCAGTCTTAACAATCAATAAAGTATTAAGATTTGTATCAGTAAATTCAATTTCATATCCAATTAACTCCTTTTCTAACAATTCTGTCATAATTCCCAACACAATAATAGACTGGACAAACTTAGGAGAGTATAATTTTACTGAACTATTACTAAAAAGACTTACAAAATTTCTTTGTGTTAATTTGATTGGATTCATTTTCTAATCAAAAAAATTTTAATTTGAAAAATTATTTATAAATTAAAGGGTTAAAATGGAGAATGAGTTTAATAAAATAACAACAAGTAATGATAAGAAAATTAAGTTTATTGAAGAAGATTCTGTATATAATTATGAAAATTTAGAGAATGTTGCTCCTAAGAAAAAGCGGGAGAGAAAGAAAAGAGATGAAACTACTAGAAGAAATGTTAACAGAAAAAATGTTAATCTCCCAGCATCACAACCGTATGTTAAAATAATAGATGGAGAAGAGAAGATGGCTTTTAAATATAATACTAGACTTAGTGAATCAGCATTAAGTCAAATACCAAAAGAGTCAATTGTTGAAGATGAATTTACTATCTATTTTAATGTAGAGAGTGTGGACATTACATCACTGAATGAGAAGTTTAAGATGGATAATTGTGTATATCCTCGTGCAAATGTACCAATTGAAAGATATGCAGGAAATAGATGGAGTTATGAAACAGAATGTAATAAGCTTGCTTGGCAATTAGTTTCCTTAAATAGCAGTATTCTTTATGGCAGAAAAGGGTTGATTCAGAGAGCTGTTGATTCTTATAGATATCTAACTAAGTCATGTAAAGGATCTAAATATTACAGGAATGAGTTATTTAATGGTGAAATTGAAAAGAGAAAGAAAATTTCTAATCTCCAAAGTGTTGGTCAATTTGAATACACTTATAAAAGAACCCAAAGGAAGTGTAAAGTTTTTCTTAACATTAATCACATTGATTTTGATCAGATAAACGATAAAACTAAATCTAAATATTCAGTATTTGTAGAGGATTATGATGAGAATTCATTTA